AGGTGTGTTTTTTTTTAAAATTTTTTTTAAATTTTTTTCATAAATAAAAAAAAAAAAAAAAAAGTTTAAAAAAAATTAAATAATAAAAAAATTATAATTTTGATTTTTTTTTCTTTTTTTTTTTTTTTTTATTTTTTATTTTTTATTTTTAATTATATAATTATATAATAATTCAATAAAAAAAAAAACAAAGATTTTAAATTATTTTTAAATAATTTTAAAATAGTTTTTTTGTATACATTTATTAATTTATAAACTAAATAATAATAATTTAAATATTTTATTATTATAAATAACTTTATTAACAAAATTCGATTTTTTTGTTAAATAAAAATAGGTAAAGCATTAAATAATAGAAATAATAAAACCACCTACCACCAAATAGTAATAGTTATAAATCATATACTATTATAAAAATAATAAAATATTGTATTGTTAGATGTTTCATTTTAATAGTATTCATTAAATTTATATATTTTTTGTAATAATAACTTGTGGATCATTAAAAAAAAAAAAGTTTATAAAACTTAATCAGTATAGTAAAATAATGAAAATTGGAAATATAGTATAGTTTATTAGTTTATTGAAAAAGTTATAGATATATATAATAATATAATAATAATAATCATTATTACCAGGATAGAATATCACAATTTTTTCGGACGATTTATAAAACTTTTTTTTTTTTTAATATTTTTTTTATAATTTTATCTATTTTATAAATTTATATTATTTATATTGTTATTTTTTTAAATATTACTACTATTACTATTATAATATAAATATTTTTATATAATTATACTAATTTTATAATTTTTTTTTTCTTTATAGATTTTTTTTTTTTTTTATTATAAAACTAAATCATATATAAATACAATATAACATAAATTTAAAATGCCAAAAAAAACAAGCAAAGCACCAGAAATCTGTCAACCAGGCGGTATGTGTTATAGATTCCCACCACCATGTTGTTCAATTTGTTGCATGATCTTTTCAATCTTTTCATTTGTTGGTCTTATTTCAATTTATGGTCTCATTAGTAACGATTACACTAAAGTTCAAGGTGAAGCTTATTGGAATACAGAACAAATCGAAGGTGGTAAAAAAGCTTCATTAATTGGTAGTTTTATCTATTTAGGTGTTGCTGGTTTATGTTTATTCCTTTTCTTCTGTCGTAAATTCACTGCTCCAAAGAAAAACCCAGAAGATGATGAATAAATAAATAAATAATAAATAAATAATAAATAAATAATATTTTTTTAAAAAAAAAGGATATATAATAAATAAAAATAATAAAAAAAATAAAAATAAAAAAAATATTAAATAAAAAACCTATAAAACTTTTAAATAATTTATAAAAAATATTTTTTTATCTTTTGAAATTATAATTTAAATATTTATTTTTTTATTTATTTTTATTTTATTTAGTGTATATATTATATATTTAATTTCTAATTAATTTAATTGGGAAATTTTCAGTAATTAAATGACCATCTTCTAACATTATAACTAAATTAACTTCAAATTCGATTTTAAAAGTTTTACCAGCAGTACTAACACATGTGAATAAACGTGGGAAAATCATATAAAGTGGAATTTTGAAATTTCTCCAAAGATCACCATCTGCAACTTGAATATTTTGAATTTCTGTTAATTCTCTAGCATAACCATCTGCACAACCACAAGTTTCAACACGTACCAATTGTAATTCAATCGATTTAATGACTGTATCTGCTTGTTCTATTACTAAATCACCTTGAAATGCTTCATTAATATTACAAACTGCTGTTGATAATTTACCTGAAATTCTAAAGTTTGGTACTTCTGATTTTGAAATCTTTCAAAATTAATTTATCAAAATAAACATATTAATATTAAATAAAAATAAAAATTTAAAATTATAATAAAATAGTTATTTACTTTTTTAAAGTTTACTAATGAATCTGGTGTAATTTTAAAATGAACTTCTTCTGGTGTTTTTTGTACATTTGCTGGTGACTATTAAAAATAAAATAAAATAATTAATAAAAATTATTATTATTATTATTCCTATTATTATTATTATTTTTATTCATATTTTAACTATATTATTATTTTTAGTTTTTAATTTTTAATTACATACTGGTACTTCAACTATAAATTCTATATTTTTTGAAAGATCTTTTGATAAAATACCTCTTTTAACCTCACATCTAATTGAATATTGAATATTAACAAAAACACCATGATATGTATCATAAAGTTGTTGACCTGGAAGAGGTTCTAATTTAAATTCGAATGGTAATTCAGTTACACCAGCAAGGAATTTACCACCACCATTGGTAACATTGATTGTATAATGCATTAATGTAATTGGTTTTAAAGAGTTGTAAAATGCTTCAAATAAACCTACACTCTTTGAACTTAATTGTAATTGAACTATACCTTCTACTATCAATGTCACACCTGAATGTGACATATCATCTTTACTATTTATAACAACATTACCTGATACTAAATTCTAAAATTTAAACTATTAATTATAAATCATTATTATTATCTATTATTATTATTATTCTAATCTTACACCTGGTTTATATATTTTATCAATTTTTTTTAATTTAATATCTAAAACATTCATTTTTATTTTAATATAATTTGATTATTTGTTAAAAGTTTTGGTTATTGACTATAAGTTATAAGCTATTAATTATTATTATTATTTATAATGTTTTATAGAGTGTGTTGTTGTTGTTTAAATTAAAATACAATAAAACAATATAATAATATCTATGAAACTAAAATTTTAAAAAAAAAAAAAAAAAAAAAAAAAAAAAAAAAAAAAAAAAAAGTTTTTTGAATTTTTTTTATAAAAATATTTTTTTTTATTTTTTTTAATTTTATTTTTCTTTTTTTAATCATTTGATTATTATCTCATTATTATTTGATTATCATTGATAAATATTTATTTGATTTGCTTTAGAAACCATTTTTTTTTTTTTTTTATAAAATTTTCTTTCTTTTTGATTTTTTTTATAAAATTTAAATAAATTTTATAAAGATTTTATTATTTTATATTATATTTTACTATTATAATTTTATTTTCAGTATACTTTATATTCTTATTTAATTAACAAAAATGAGATATATATAAAAAAAATAAATAATTATATAAACACAATGTTCACACAAAAAAATTTATTTTTTTCAATTTATTTTTTAAAAAAATTAAATTTTTTTTTTTTTTTTCGTTTTAAATTTTTTTTTTTTTTTATTATTTTTATTTTTAAATTTGTATCATTCCAATACGTATTTTAATTAAAATGTCAAAGAAAGCTGAACCAGCCGCCCCAATTGATAACTCAATTGCTTTAGCCCGTGTTGGCAACCATCTCCAAATGGGTATTGTTGGTAAGTAACAAAAAAAACCCAAAAAGAAAACAACCAATAAAATATATAATATAATAAACTCTAATTTTCATTTTATTCATTTTTATATTATAATTTAAAATTATAAAAAAAAAAGGTGTAAGTAATTTTTAAAAAAAAGAAAAAGAGAAAAAAATCAAATTTATTAATATCTATTTAAATATTTTTAAATAGCTCCCAAATGTTGGTAAAAGTTCATTATTCAACATTTTAACCAAAATGTCAATTCCAGCTGAAAATTTCCCATTTTGTACTATTGATCCAAATTTATCAAGATGTGCCGTTCCAGATGAACGTTATGATTGGTTAGTTGAACACTGGAAACCAGCTTCAAAAGTTCCAGCTTACCTTCAAATTACTGATATTGCTGGTTTAGTTTCAGGTGCTTCTGAAGGTAAAGGTCTTGGTAATGCGTAAGTAACAATTTATTTGTTTTAAAAAATAATATTTAGCAATTTTAAAAATTAGTACTTTTAAAATTTTAGTTTCATATTTTATTAAAAAGAATAATAGTAATAATCAAAAATAAATAATAACAAGTTAAAGTTATAGTAATAGTAATAATTAATAACAATAATAGTAATAATAGTAGCAATAATAATAACAATAGAATCGAAAATTAATTTTAAATCAATATTTTTTTTTTTTAACTATTATTATTATAGTTTCTTATCACATATCCAAGCTGTTGATGGTATTTTCCATATGATTCGTGTTTTTGAAGATTCAGATATTATTCACGTTGAAGATTCAGTTGATCCAACTAGAGATTTAGACATTATTTCACAAGAATTACTTGCCAAAGATATTGAATTTACTTCAAGAGCTTTGGACACATTACAAAAATCATTAAAAAATGTAATTATATATCATTAATAATATTTAATAATAATAGCAATAGAAAAGTTTATAGATAGATATATAGATGGGATGGACATATAGATAGATATATAGATTGGTAGATAGATATATAGATTGGTAGATAGATAGATAAATATAGATAGATGGACAAATAGAGATATATAAACACATAAAATATAATATCTTTTATATTAGCTTTTATTAATTTTTCTTCTTTTTAGAAAACTGTCGATAAAGCTAAACAAATTGAACTCGATTGTTTAACTAAAGTTTTAGCTTTATTAAAATCTGGTAAACATGCCAGATTTGGTGAATACTCCAACGCCGAAATCGAACACGTCAAAGACTTAAGATTATTAACCTCTAAACCAGCCATGTACCTCGTCAACTTGAGCGAAGAAGATTTCATCCGTAAGAAAAACAAATGGTTAGCCAAAATCAAAGCCTGGATTGACGCCCACGGTGGTGGTCCAATCATCCCAGTCTCTGTCGCCTTTGAACAACACCTCTTAGACTTAGCCACTGACGAAGAAAGAAAAGAATACGAAAAAACCAAAGGTGCCACCAGCTCCATCTCCAAAATCATCAAAAACGGTTACCATCACTTACAACTCTACCACTTTTTCACCTGCGGTAAAGACGAAGTTCGTTGCTGGACCATCCAAAAAGGAACCAAGGCTCCACAAGCTGCTGGTACCATCCACACTGATTTCGAAAAAGGTTTCATCATGGCTGAAACCATGGCATACAATGACTTCTTTGAATTAAAATCAGAATCCGAGTGTAAAGCCAAAGGAAAGTACAGAAATGAGGGCAAAAACTATGTCGTTCAAGATGGTGATATTATCTTCTTCAAATTCGGTACATTAGCTAAAAAGAAGTAAAATTGGAGGATTTTATAGTGAATTAATGAATAATAAAGAGTTATTGATTAATTAAAGGTTAAATAAAGGGTGTTTAATAGATAGTTTGGTAATCTGTATACTTATTTATCTTTTTTTTTTTTTTTTGAAGCTATTTAATTTGGCATTCAATTCATTATAAAAATAATATTCCATTTTTTAACACTTTTTTTATTCCATGATGTTTGCAATCAATCAATCATAATTATAAATTTGGTTATTTTCAAAAAATGTCCAAAATTATTATAATAATTTTGGATGTAATTATAATGTGCAGTTTTTTTTTTTTTAAAAAATAATTACCAGGGCAACATAATAGAGTTTTTTTTGAAAAAAAATGGTAATTGAATTTAAATATCAACAATCAAAAGGAGGCACAACACAAAAAAAAAATTTTAATTTTTTTTTTTTTAAAAAGATTTAATTTAAAAAAATTTTTTAAAAAAATTTTTTTTTTTTTTTTTGAAATTTTTTATATGGTGAATGTTAGTTTTTTCCATTCCAAAAATTAAGCTATTTATTTATTCAACACAATATTTTTTATATTGTTAATTTTTTTTTTGTATTTATTAATAAAAAAATGAATAGCAATGAACCTAGTTTAATTATAAAATGTTCAGAACACAATAAAAATTTTATTTTAATATGTGTTGTTTGTCAAATACCAATATGCTTGGATTGTATTGTTAGTGGCGAACATTTAAATCATAAGAATAATAAAATGGAACATTTCACAAAAGAAAATATTGATAATATTATTATTAAAGATTTTAAAAAAACTACTTATTATCTAGAGGGTTATATTAAAAGTAATAAAAAAATTTTAGAATCATCAGAAAAATGTTATTATCACACCAAAAATAACTACAAACAACAAGAGGCCAAAATTAATGAAATATTTAAAGAGTTGCACGACAGGTTAGATTTATTAAAAACCAGTAAATTATTAGAATTAGAAAAAGACCAAAATTTTTCTCAAATTGTTGAAAATTACTGCGAATATTTAATTAGATTTAAAATTTTTTGTCCAGAATTAGTGGAGTTTCAAAAACAAGAAGCTAAACGATATAATAATAATAATAATAAAAAGCTAGATTGTTTATTTTCTTTTCTTAGATATTATAGTTATTTTTCAAATTCACATAAAAAAAAATTAAATATTTCAATTTCTTCAAAAATATTAAGTAATAGAAATGAAATGTTAATGATTAAAAAGTTAATAAATGGTAAATTTATAATATTGTAGATCAAAGAAAAAGGTTTATATTAATATATATATTTATTTATAGTTAACGGTTCAGAATTATATTATTCAAATGGTGAACCAATACCAACAAATCGAAATAAAGTTTTTTTAGATGAAAGTATAGATTATGAAAAATTAATTTTAAATGATCATGTTAAAGAACTATACATGGCTGGGGGGTATAATGAACGATTGAATAGTTCGAATTTGGTAAAAAAATTTTATATCAATCACTTAAAGAGGGAAATATTAAAAGAAAAGGATAAAAGCATATTTTTAGTTTTAGAGAATTCAATAGTCAAGTATTATGAATTTGAAAGTCAATACTATTGTTTAATAGATAAAGATTGTATTGATACTTTTAACATTGAAGATTTTAAAAATGAAAATTATTTAGCATTTGGTAATATGGGTGAAGATATTAATAAAAGTTTGAATTTGTTCTCAACTATTTCAAATTATCAGAGTTTTAAAGAATTTAAAGGTTGCTTTTTTGTTAAAGGTTTTAATATTAAATTAGAGCTACTTTCAGCTTATTGTTTACATTTAGGTTTTGAGTATTATATAGGAATTGAAGCTACCAGACTAAATAAACGTATACTAAACAATATTAAAAATCTACATTTAATAGATGGGTTTAGTTTGGAACTTCTAGAATATAAATATAGAGATTTGGAAAAATTGGAAATTGAAAATTTGTATTTACATAAAAATATTAAAACAGAAGTTCCTTTCTTTGGCAAAAATATAGCAAAAAGATTTTTTCTATGTGAGGGGTATAATGACCACGGCATAATTACTATAGGATCCAGAGCTATAGAGCTACATATATCAAATGTTCAAATAGATATTAAGGTTGTTTTAAATCGTGAATTCCTTAGTGATTCTTCAGATTTTGTAATTTATTTAGAAGGTGGATTTAATCAAGAAATAAATGTTTCTTATTATCGCTATGACCAACTTGACAAGTTACATTTACATATATATGATGTTGGGCCCAAGTTCTTAAAAAGTCGAGTTTCCTCAATAATAAAACTTCATATTCATGGGTCAATAGATGGAGCTTCTAACGATTTTTTTAATGGAATTCAAGAATTATATTTATATAATTATACAAATGTTTTGGAAAAAAATGATATATGTTTTGATACAATTAAACATATATACTTAATGGATGGTTTCAACAAATCTTCAACTTATCAAATTCCAAATAATATAAAGTTTTTAACATTATATAATATAGGATTAGATGCAGCCAAAAATTTATCAATTCCAGAATCAGTAAGTGAACTATATTTGGGTGATGGATTTAATATTCCACTTGATAAAATTAATTTCCCAAAAACATTAAAATCACTTCATCTTGGGAATGTTAAATCAAATATATCATTAATACCAAGTAATTTTGAAAATCTCTTCATAAAACCTTCTTTTTCAATGGATAGATTGAAGAAAAGTTCAATTCCTTTTTTAAAATTTCTTCACTTAGAATATGGTTTTAATCAAATAATTAATAAAGATATTTTCAAAGATAAAATTGGTGGTTTGGTTTTACATTATGTAACTAAACAAGTATTTGAATCTATTCCAGATAATATTTTTCATTCATTACATTTACAGGAAAACCTCAATTATATGAATAATAATATCAAATTCCCCCAAACTAGGGCCTTGTTTTTATATCCAGTAATTACAAATACTGGTGTTTTAAATCAAAAAGATATAAAAAATTTAAATATATGTGACAATTTTAAATCTATAATTAAAAAAGGAGATATTCATGAAAATATAGAGGTAATTGTTATTGATATCATGGATATTATTAATAATGATTCAATCCCAGCAACAGTTAAAGAAATATATTTGAAATATTTAACCAATTATCATAAGCGTATTCAAAAAAAATAAAAATAAAAATAAAAAAAATAAAATCGTTAAAAAAAATATAATGATGTTCATTATTTCAATTTATTTAATTTTTAATATTTTTTTTTTTTAAATTTTTTTTATTTAATTTTTATTGTTTTTTTAATAAACTAATTTTAAAAGAAAATTCTGGTTGGAGGGTTTGATTGAAATATTGAAAAAAAAATACACTAGCTAATAAAATAAATTGATGTTGCATTTATTAATTTCTATTATTATTGCTCTTGATGTTATTGTTATTATTACCTCTTCTAATGGTCCTTGATGGTACTGGTGGTAATTGGGTTGGTGATGTTGGTGGTGCATAGTTGGTGAAAGTATTGATAATTGAACATTTTAAACTAATGTAACAATTTCTTAATTCTTTTCGTTGTTCTTTTGCGTATGTTGAGTTTTAATCCCAAAGATCCATTTCTGTTAATTCAGCTTCTCTTTGCTTTAATTTATTTAATGTATCATTGATTGACGTCATTGTATTATTGGTTGGATGTGCTAACCTGTTTCTGAACTGTGAGAATAATTTTGCGATGTTCAAATCTACAACAAAAAGAACCATTGATACCTCCACGGCGTGAGCGTCTTTCGTGTAGCTTTCGTTGAAAGCTGTCCACATATCATCATGATATTTTACTGAATCACCATCGAAATCTTCACCATCAGAGAAAGTACCACGGTTTGAGAGTTTGACCATTAAAATATATCTGAGGTATACTTTTAAAAGATCAGCCATATAGACACAAACTGATGTTTCGGAATTTTGTTATGAGATGCATGTGTTTGTTAATTGTTTTTCAATATCTTTTAATCTTTTTTTATATTTTTTTGTTCTTGTTTTATATCAAGATGTTTTTGTTTTATATCAATAACTACTTGTTCAATATTTAAATGTTCTTGTTTTCTGGCATTAATTTCTTGTTTGATATTTATTTCATATAAAGGTTGGTTTTGTGTGCTATTTGGTGGTGCTAGAGGTAAAAAAATAGGTGAAATAAAGTCATCTTTTGTATTATTATTACCCATAATTAAAATTTTATGTTAAATATTATATTAAATTTAAAAAAAATAAAAAAATAAACACAGTCAAAACAAAAAAAAAAATTAAATAAAAAAAAATTTAATAAAAAAATTTAATATAAAAATTAAAATATACAATTTTTTTATTTTTATTTTTTAATTTTTTTTATTTCCTTATAAATATTGTTATTATTATCAGTTATTTTATTAATCTTCACCAGCATATGATATTTGGAATGGTGAAGAAAATGATTTTATTATTAGTAAATTAGATTAGTTATTTCAAACGATAACCTCTTTCAATTATCAATAGATTGACAAATATTCAATACTCCATGAATGGTGATATTCTTAATTTTATAAAGAAATGTTCGACACACGATTCAGATTTTGTTTTATTATGTGTTGTTTGTTTGACACCAATATGCTTGTATTGTATTGTTAGTGGTGAACATTTAAATCATAAAATGGATCATTTCACAAAAGAAAATATTTATAATATTAGTAAGAGTTTAAAAAAAATACTTATTATCTGGAGGGTTATATTAAAAGTAATAAAAAAATTTTAGAATCATCAAAAAAATGTTATAGTCATACCAAAACTAACTACGAACAACAAAAACCCAAAATTAGAGAAAATTTTAAAGAGTTGCACGATAGGTTAGATTCATTAAAAAACAGCAAATTATTAGAATTAGAAAAAGATCAAAGTTTTTCTCAAATTTTTAAAAAATACTACGACTATTTAAATGTTTTTAAAGATTTATGCCCAGAATTATTGGAGTTGCAAAAAAAAGATAGCGTATTTTATAATATTAATAGCATTAATAACAATAGTAATAATAATTGTGGTAATAAAACTATTTGTGAAATTGCAGATTATTTATAGCCTTCTAGTAATAGCTATTATAATCAACCACCTTTTCAGAACAATAAACCATTGGAGAAAATAAAATTAGTTTTTTCTAATATAAGAGAAGCTGAACTATTAAAAATTAAAAATAAAAATAACAATAATAATAATAATAATCATCTTGATTATTTATTTTCTTTTAATAAATATTATAATTATTTTTTAAATTTAAATAAAATAAAATCAAATATTTCAATTTCTTCAGAAATATTAAGTAATAGAAATGAAATTTTAATGATTAAAAAGCTAGTAAATGGTAAATTTATAATTTTATAATTCAAAAAAAAATAAAAAGGTTTATATTAATATAGATATTTATTTATAGTTAATGGTTTAGAGTTATATAATTCAAATGGTGAACCAATACCAACAAATGGAAATAAATCTTTTATGGGTGAAAATATAAATTATGATAAATTAATTTTGGGTGATCATGTTACAGAACTACATATGACTGGGGAGTATAATGAACGATTGAATAGTTCAAATTTGGTAAAATTTTTTTATATATATCAATTAAAGAAGGATGGTTTAATTAAATTTAAAAAAGAAGAGGGTAAAGGTTTATTTTTAGTATTAAAGAATTCAATAGTCAAGTATTATGAATTTGAAAATGAATACTACTATTTAATAGATAAAGATTGTATTGATACTTTTAACATTGAAGGTTTTAAAAATGAAAAGTATTTAGCATTTGGGAATATGGGGAATGGTATCAATTGAATTTGTTCTCAACTATTTCAAATTATCAGGATTTTAAAGAGTTTAAAGGTTGCTTTTTTGTTGAAGGCTTTAATATAAAATAAGAGTCACTTTTAACCTATAATTTAGGTTTTGAGTATTATATAGGAAATATTAAAGTCATCAAGTCAATACCAAATAATATTAAAAATCTACATTTAATAGATGGGTTTAATGGATATTTACAATCAAATGTTGAAAATTTGTTCTTACATAAAAATAATAATTTAATTTTTCCGGGTTCCAAATTTTTAGCAAAAAGAATTTTTTTATGTCCGGTAGCTGATGGAGATACATATATCAAAAATTGAAACAAATATTCATGATATACTCGATAAATCAGATTGTTCTACGGGAAGTTTTGCAATTTAATTAGAGGGTGGGGTTGATCAAAAAATATCTAAATATTCTTTTCATCTTTACAGTTGCACATTTACAAATGTGATGTTGGCCCCAACGTCTTAAATAGTAAAGTTTCTTTCATAACAAATAATTTACATATCCATGGGCCAATATACGAAGTATCTAACGATTTTTGTAAAGGAATTAAACGTTATATTTACATTATCAATAATTTGATTTTTTTTAATATACCACCAATAAGATGTCAAAACAAAAAATTGTGGTATATGACCCCCATAAGGTTTGAACATATAAAGTAGGAGTTCAAATTAATAGTATAAATTAAGAAATTTCCCTTTTGCTAAGTTGGTCACCTCACGCCTTATTTGTGCATAGTGCACTTTATTACATTTTGGCGACAGCTTCGGTTCGATCCCTGGAGGGTGCAGGTTGAAAGGGTTCCCTGACCCATTCCAAAAATTAGTTAGATAGTTATCTTTAAAGGGTGAGGTAAATGTGGTATATGACCCCCATAAGGTTTGAACATATAAAGTAGGAGTTCAAATTAATAGTATAAATTAAGAAATTTCCCTTTTGCTAAGTTGGTCACCTCACGCCTTATTTGTGCATAGTGCACTTTATTACAAAATAACATCAAAAGCCCGGCTAGCTCAGTCGGTAGAGCGCAAGACTCTTAATCTTGTGGTCGGGGGTTCGAGCCCCCCGTTGGGCGAATTTTTTTCTAATGGATTTATCTTCTCGGAGATTTTTGTTTAAATGAAAATTACAGTTATAATGAGGGGGACATCCTCAAATCCTTTGCACTATCAAGAATAACATATTACTCGTATATTGAAGAATTCAACGATGATGTAATTAAAGAAATCAATAAAATTGCAGATTGGTTCCTATCAGCACCTAACAATAAAAGTCCAAATGGTTTTAAAGTCTTCAAATTAATGAGCTCTAAAAGAACAAATTATCCTATGGATCAAGGAGGTTGGAATCTTTGGAATATCAAAAACAGACAAAAAGCACAAAGATTATGGATGATAAATCAAATAATCAATAAAATTGAAACTAACAAAATAGAATCAGAATATCAACACAGTTGGAAACATCAAATATCAACCAAAACAATAACTTCAGATTACCTATTTAAAAACTACAATGATTGGATACAAATAAAAGTTAAAAAAGGACTACTAGACGGGTTGAAATCCATTAAAAATAAAGACGGCAAACCTCTTTCTTTAGCAGAATGGTATTCAGAAATAAACAATCTCAACAGCTTTACACCCAAAACAGAATTCCAACAATGTCTTCAACTTACAGGTTATAGCTATATCAACCTATTCAAAAATATACTTAATATTAAAGATCCAAAATCAAGAAACACTCTATTCAAATTCCAAGCAAGATGCTTACCCATCAACTTCATTCACAACAAACCATGTAGGCTATGTAATGAAAATCTTAATAATGATCCATATGGTCATCTATTTTTCAAATGTAAAAAAACTCTGAAATTCATCAACTTCAATAAACTAAAATCATTTATATTCATTACTTCGGGAAGGGGCCTCAATTGGTCACTGGACATAACAAGATCAAGAAGGAATATATCAATAAAAAATATTACATACAAAATCCCAGAAGGTCGTAAATCCGATGGAGAAATAAATATGGATTACAACAACACCAGATTTCACAAATCACACTTCCAATGGAACTATAAAGCAATAGATTTCGACTTAACAAGATGTTTCGCTTATAGAAATGCCATAGCCCTGGTATTTCATCAAGTTTGGATTTGGTTATGTAAAGAATTATATGACGATCAAGAAAATACAATAAAAGAACTCGATTATAAGAATCTAACCTCAAAATGGACTAAACTAGCTACTTTAGAATACTTAAAAGGTTTAAAAAACATCAAGGAAAGACACGCTAAACAACCACAAACAATTAGCAACATCAATGAAGAATATAGAAAATTCAAAAGAAAAATAGCAAGAGCATACTTCATCAGCATCAAATCTTTACCAAATATCAACAGTTTAGAATATTTTCTTTAAAAACTTTATAAAAAAACATTAAATAAAATTTTACTGATTAATTTAAAGCATTTGCTTTTTATTATCTTCACTTTTAAAAAAAAAAAAAAATAATGAGGGGGAGCAATCATAGCCAAGTGGTCGAACAAATTTCTATTTGCTTTTAATTATCTCTCACTTTTAAAAAAAAAAAAAAAAAAAAAAAAAAAAAAAAAAAACGAATTTCCTACAAGTTACCACTTCAACTTTTATTAAATCATTTATTAAATAAGATCTACCAATAATAATTTTTATATGACGAACCTTACCGCCAATAATAATTAATATTTAAAAATAAATCTTTAGGATTAAGTGTGGGTAAATAAAAAAATAAAAAAAAAAAATTTCTATATTTTTTACCACATTTTTATTTTTAAAATTTTTATATTTTTTTATCATTAATTTAATAATTAAGTGTTAGTATAAGTTTAAAAATTAAATATAGTAAATAAACAAAATGAGGTTAAGTGATGAAGTTCCATACTCAATATTATCATATAAAAACATAGGTCACAAGTCGAACTCAAAAATTGCAAAAAAATTGGAGTGCATAAATCAACAGTTGCAAAAACATTAGAAATGGTAGAACAAACAGGCACAATCAATGACCGTAAACGTCATGGGAGAAAATAAAGTTTGACGAAAATGATAAACGTGATTTATGTTTCAATTTTAAAATAGTAAATTTAACAATATAAAATAAAGTATAATTTGGTATGAACAAAATGGATTTGGAACAATATCATACAAGTCAGTAAGAATTATATTAAAGAGATATAACATAATATATAAAAAGAAAGTTAAGAATCCTAAATTTATTAGACATAATAGCAGAAAAAGATTTTATTTGAAGTTGTGCATATAAATTTTTTTGTGGAATAATGAGAAAATTATATGTTTGTGGATGAAGTAAAGTTTCAATAAAATGATAATAACCATGATAGGTCTTCTTGGGCATATGACACTAATGTTTTACTAGAATCACGTATCAAGACAAAAGTTAGAAAGGGTGGGGTTAATTAAATATTTTTGGGAAATTTTCTTTATTTTGGTCCAATTTATTTATTCATTTATCAAATGGATTTTGAACTAAACAATATCTTGATACTATAAAAAACGATACACAAATAAATTTAGAATAATATGCAGATATAAATAAAGTGCCTAAGAGGTTGCCAATCATTTGTCATGACAACTGTAGTTCGCATAGTGAAACAATATTTTGAAGAAAATAATATACAAGTTTATCCATTACCACCCTACAGTCTAGATATTAATATAATTGAAAATCTTTGGCCAATTATTAAAGAAAGGGTATCAAAAAAGATGTTTCGTAACGCATCACAAGACCAAGTTTAGGTATGCATTTCATTCAATAGAAAAATCAATTATAAAATCATTATATGAATCACTCCCTGACCGAATGGATGCCATATTAAAAGCACATGGAGGGTATACTAAATATTCAATAATAATAATCATTTATATATAATTGTAAAAAAAAACAAATAAAAAACAAAAAAAATTTTTGAAATTGAAAAAACGGATTAAATATTAAGACCCTATTTTTTTTTTTTTTTATTTTAATTTTTAGCAAATAAACCAATATCTTGTAATATGATTTATTTTAGAGGTCATTATATAAATATTAAATATGATCTATTAATTCAATAATTATCATTTCCATTTTAAAAAAGTTGGGGGGTCTAAATATATAATCCGGGCACTGTATGAAGTGTGGTAAAACTCATATAAGTATTAAACACATACCAAACAAACAAACACAATAAACAAACTGATGACTTAATTCATCATTAAGAATCATCTTCACTTTTAAAAAAAAAAAAAAAAAAAAAAAAAAAATTTTATAAAATTTGGAATCTAAAAAAGATTTTTTATTTTTTTTAATGTCTTTTTAATTATTAAAAAGATATATATTATTAATTATTGATAATCCTTGTTCATTAATAAATTTATTAGTGCTTTATTTAATAATATAATTAGTTTTACTTAAAAAAAATTGAAGGGATTGTATTTGGTAATCTTATTAAAGATTCTATAATTTGGTTAAAAAAGTCTACTATATTATTTTTATCAGCAAAATTTTCTATTTCTAATTGTTCTAAAATAAAATTTGTAAATTTGGACAACGGGAAATTGTTTAGGTTTTTAAACTCTCTCTTTTCTTGATGGTCACTTTGATTGTTTTGGTTATTATTTGTTATTAATATGTTAATTAACTTTATAATTAAATTACATGATTCAATATATGATTCTAATATTTGTTTTGTATCAATTGATAATATTTGTTTTAAATTTTGGTACCTAATTATTTGATTGTTTAATAATATTTGATATTTTTGTGAAAGTTGTTTAAATTGTAATAATTTGATTTGATATTTATTTTTTAAATTATTTTGGTTATTATTAGTCTCTATTTCAATTTTATCTTTATTATTATTATTATTATTTTGTAATAATAAAACTTTTAAATTTAATAAATTAAATAAATATTTTTCTCTTAAAAGTATAAATTCTTCCTGAAATTGTAATGATCTTTCTAAAGTTGAGGAAGCTTTAATTGTTAAAATTACAGTATGATAATTTGAAAGTTGCTTAAATATTTTTGAGAAATTGTCACCATCACCACAAATTAATGATTGAGAGATTTCATTTTCTAATGTTGAAATTGATAATAAGCTTTTTAACCATAAATAATTATATTCAGATTCGACCCTATATATTAAATTTGAATAAATTGTTTGAGCTAATAGATGAAAACCATATCTTTGGGCCAAATGTGCTAAATTATATAAACACCATAGTTGTCCTTGCTTTGGATTATCAAAAATATATTCAATAGTTGGTATAATTAAATTTGTAATTTTTTCAATTTTTTCTATATTATTGTCGAAGGATCTAAAAATACAAACAAATATTGGCATCTATATGTTAAAGAGGAGTTAATAAAAATTTATTTAAAGAATACCTTTAAAAATCCTATTACTTACTGGTAATGATGATGTATATGCTTTGCTATCATTGGTTAATTCGTTTAAATTGTTAATTAACTGGCTACTATTTTCATTTATAATAATTTGATTTAAATAAGCTAAAATATTTTCAAATGAACCTTCTATTACATTTTTATTTAATGGTATACAAATTGATAAACAATGAAATAATGATTTAATTATATCATCTATTAATAGAAAAAATAAAATAATTAGTAATATTTTTTAAATAATTTTTTTTTAAAAAAAAACTTACAAGGAATTTCATTTAAAATTGAAACTATAGTTATTGAAATTTGTTTTAAAATTTTTGGGTATTTTGAAACAAGTTGTATAATTGATTTTAATAATATTGAGTGTTTTGTTAATTTAATTGTATTATTATTTGATTTATTTAAATTTTTTGTAAATTGGGTTTTTAAGATTATACAAATGTTATTTAATAATTGATCTAGAATTGGTTCAATAGTTTCATTATTATTATTATTATTATTATTATTATTATTATTATTATTATTATTATTATTATTATTATTATTATTATTATTATTATTATTACCATTTGACTCAACTATTAAGTTTGTTAAAGTTTGAATTGATAATTCTGATAATGAAAAATCATAATCTAAAGAGTATTGATATAGTAATGAAATTATTGAACTATAACTTAAATTATTATTGCTATCTTCTTGTTGTTTTTGTAAAATATTTAAATATTGTGGTGAGGAGGAAGATAAAATTGATAAAAATAATAAGGTGTGATATTTAATATCTTTATAATTTTCTGGCGTATCTCTTAGTAATTTAATAATTTCTAAAATTGGAAATTGTGAATGGGGTGAAGTTTTTGCTAATTTTTGTAAACATTTTAATGTAATAACTTTAACCTTAATTCTTGGATCTAAAAATCCATAGTTATTTAAAAATTTAATCTAATTAAAAAAATTTGGTTAGCAATAAATTATAGTTAATGAGAATGGTAATAATATTGTACATACATGATCATCGATATATAAAATATGTTTTAATGATAAGTTTGTTAATGTATCCAAAATAATTGTTACAAAATCTTCAGATGGGTACAAATCTAATAAACCAACCAACATATCTTTTGATTGAGTTGCAATTGAATGGCTGTGGTGCATATGTCTAAATAATTTGATGTATTTTAATTTTGTAGTTGGTGGAGTTTCAACATTTTGAATAACTTTATGAATTTTTTCAATGATACTATCTGAAAATAATGGTGAGACTTCACACAGTTTATCCATAATAAAAATAGTTGCTTCAATCTCAACCCTATCATGAGATTGCATACAACTTCTTATGCTAAAAAATAAAAAGAAACTAATTAAAATTTTGATAAATTATAAAGAATAATTATTGGCAAACTTACCTATGATGAATATATAGCTTATCGGCAATTAGATAAGGAACACTTGCTAAAATTCTTAATGATAATGATCTTGCAATTGGGTCATTTGATAATATTACAGAATGAATTCTTTTTAAAACCTCTTCAATATTTGAAACTTTATGAATCTCATTTGAACATTCTTGAAATACTTTAAGGATACGATATTTAACGAGATTGGTTGTAGTTCTAAATATATCCGATAAACGTGTTATGACAGAGTTAACTATTAATGGTGATGGATGAAATCTAATTAAATGGCTAAAAAATAAAATTGACTCAACCTGTTCACCTAGATTACCACTTCTTATTCCTTTATTAATTTCCATTAAAATTGTACCGCATTCTTTATCATCTTCTTTATTTGATTCAATAACAATAATATTTTGTTGACTTTGCTGTTGCTGTTGCTGTGTTGCTGCTGCTGATGTCGATGTTGTAGCTGTTGATACCGATGTTGATCCTGATGTTGGAATAACTGATGAAGCTGTTGAGGTCGATGATGGTTGTGTTTGCAATGGTTGTTGAGTCTGTTGTGTAGTTGAGGATGCTGAAGATATAGCTGAAGATGTTGATGATACACCTGAAGATGTTGATGGTGTCGATGTTGATGCCAAGGTTGTACTAGTTTGTACCGATGTTGTTGAAGTCGACGGTGTGGAAGTATTAGGATTGGTTGTAAAAGATCCACTAATATTATTGGCAAATAAATGAAACAATGAGTTTGGTGGTAATTGATTTGATATACCTAATACTGATGAGGATCCCATCGACAAAGATGGATTCTTTGAATTAAATCTTTGTTCATTCATTATTTAATCCAATTTAAAAATTAAAAAAATGAAATTAAAAAAAAAAAAAAAAATTTTGAAAAAAAAAAAAAAAATAAAAAATTTTTATTAATTTTTTTTTGTAAATTAATTTTTTTTTTTATAAATAGATAATTAATAACCAATTTTATAAATGCAAGAAATAATAATAATTATAACCCCTTCTTAATTTTTTAATATCTTATAGTTTCTTTTTTCCTAAAAAATAAAGAGAATTTTTTTTTTTTAAAAATTAAAAAAAATTTTTATCCGAAAAAAAAATAATTTAAAAATGTTATAATTTATAATTATTTGTTTAATTATTATATTATCCATAAAAATGAATATTCTTATAACATTTTTATATATATTTTTATTTTACATTTTTTATTCTTGGGTATATATAAAACTATATATTCTAATATTTTGAAAAAATTTGTATTAATTGTTTTTTTTATCCTAATTTATATATAGTATGAAAAAATTAAATTTATTCATAAAAAGGAATTAAAAGGGCCATTCCCACTACCTATTATTGGTAATGCATATCTAAGTGATCACCCATATTATGATTTTTTTAAATTTTCAAAAAAATATGGCGATATATTCAGAATATGGGTGGGTGATTTATACACAGTAGTTCTAAGTGATGAATCACTTATAAGAGAAGTTTTTCATAAAAACTCTGATAATTTTAACGATAGACCAAAATTTCCTGTAAGTATTTATTATTTATTTAATTAAATTAAATTAAATTAAATTAATTTAAATTAATTTTTTACAATTTTTAAAAAATAAAAAAGACAATGAAATATTTATCAAATTATCATGGTTTAGTAACATCATCAGGTGAGTATTGGAAAATTAATAGAGAAATTGTATCCCAATCCTTAACAAAAATCCATTCAAAACATCTATATGAATCATTGGAATATAATATAGAACAAGTTTTAAATAAATTTGAAGGATTTGAAAAAAGAAATGAATCCTTTAATCCAAAATTAGATTGTTATAAATTTACAACCAGTTTAATGTTCAAATATATTTTTAATGAAGAGATTACAAATTATGATGATCCAATAATAGAAAGCGAAATAATTAAACCAACTAATAGAGTATTTGAAAAACTTTCAAATTGTAGAACCGGGGATGCTTTAAAAATACTCAGACCATTTTATGAATTCCAATTAAAGTATTTTGAACAATCAGGATATAAAATATTTGACTATTTAAATAAAAAACTAGAACAGCATGTAGAAACTTTTGATGAAAATGGTGTTCCAAGAGATTTATTGGATATTTTATTCAAAGAATATGGAAATGACAAATTATCAATACTTTCAACTGCAAAAGATTTATTATTGGGTGGAATTGATACATCAGGTATATAACAATAAAATAAAATAAAAATATACCTATATAGCATATTAATTTTACATTTATATTTATTTACAGCAACAATATTTTATAATATTATAATGTTATCATGCAACTATAAAGAAATTCAAGATAAGGTGTATGAGGAGCTAAAGAGTGTATCAAAAGAAAAGAAAAGAATTTATTTATCAGATAGAAATAGTTTACCATATACAAATGCATTTATTAAAGAATGTTTACGTTATAGACCTGTAGCTGCATTTCCATTGCCCCACACAGCCAAAAATGATATTACAATCTCTAATGGTAGATATTTCATTCCAAAGGATTCACAAGTATTAATTAATTTCTATGCACTTTACAGAAATGAAAAATACTTTCCAAATCCTGAAACTTTTGACCCCAGTCGTTTCATTAATTGCGAATTGGCAAATCAAGCCTTTATGCCATTTTCCATGGGACCAAGAATCTGTGTTGCCCGTCAATTTGCTTTAGATGAAATATTTTTATTTATTTCAAATTTATTATTAAATTTTAAAGTTTCATCAAATAAAACAATTGATCACTCTATCAATGACTATAAATATGGATTAACTATTAAATTAAAAAAAGAATTCAATATCAATTTAAAAAAAAGATAAATATATGTGTGGTTAAAAAAAAAATTTCAAAAAATAAAAAATTTAATTTTTATTTTTATTATTTTTATTATTTTTATTATTTTTTAATTTTTTTTTTTTATTTATTTTTAAAAAAATATAAAAACCAAATTTTTTTTATTTTTCTTTTGTATAATATAATAATAATAATAATAAAATGGTAGCAGTTAAAGATTCACTAAGAAAAAGATATCAAGATTTAATAGATTATGGAAATCAAAACCCAAAAACAGTTGATCCAAATTTATATCAATTAAGAAAAACTATTCTTTTAGAAGGATTACCACCAGAAACTGAAGAAGAACTTGCTGATAGAGTAACTGCTGAGGGTTCAAAATGTAGTTTAAGAGGAATGATTTGGAAAATACTATTAGGTGTAGATAAAATTGATCCTGAAAAATATATAAAATTAATTGAAAAAGGTCCATCAAATAGGGTAACTAAACAATAATTGTTGTTGGATTTATTAATTTAATGATTTTAATATTAATATTTAAATATTATAAAAAAGTATCAAAAAATTAGAAAAGATATAGGTAGAACATTTAATAGAGATGCCCAATTTAGTCAAGCAGTTTCACAAGATCAATTATCAAGATGTTTAAATGCATTTGCACACGAAAATGAAGAAGTTGGTTATGTACAGGGTATGAATGCGATTTGTGGTACATTTTTATATGTTTTACCCGAAGTTGATGCATTTCAATGTTTTTCATCACTTTTAACACAATCATGTCCACTCTATTTTACTTCAAATATATCTGGTGTAAATGATGCATCAAAACTATTGGATAAAATACTAGAGTTTGTTGATCCAGAGTTATATGAATATTTACAATCGAGACAATACCATCCATTGCTTTTTACACCACGTATGTATAAATTAATATTATATAGTTTTTAATTTATATAATATTAATTTAACCACATTATATTATAGCAATTTTAAGTTTAGGTACAGCAACACCACCATTAGACGAATTATTACGTCTTTGGGATTTTTATTTAGCATTTGGTTTCCATTTAAATGTTATTTGTACAATTTCACAAATTTTATTAATGAGAGATGTTTTATTGGTTCATGAATCTCCATGTTCATTATTTAGATCTTTCCCAGAATTAGATGCATCAACCATTTTAAATTTATCAATACATATTATACGTCAATTACCTGATGACATTTATGATCTTTTAGTTGACCATCCAATGCACCCAGTAGATTTATCACCATTTGACAGAAATCTATTAGACCCCATGGGTTTAAATGATGAATTCGATGATGAAGATGATGACGATGAAGATGACGAAGACGAAGATTTTTAAACTTTAAAAAAAAAAACAATAAAAAAATAAAATAAAAATAAACCACTTTGTAATATTAAATAAATTTATCATTATTTAAAAATGTATTAAATAAAATTATTTCTTTTGTTTTTTTTTTTTAATTTTTATTTTTATTATAATTTTTTTTTATAATTCATCAGTTTCGTTTGATGAATTATCAATTACATCAGTGACAAATACACTTGTACCATTTGATTCCATACGTTCTTTAAATTTGTGAATATCAACAATTAATTTAAGATCGACTTCACCACCACCTAACCATACAACTTTATTTGGTAACTCCATAATTTGTTTTGAAATAATAACTGGAATATTAACATTTGTACCTAATGGACATACTGCATTATATTCAAAACCTGTTAATTGTTGTGAAATTTCTGATGGTGCTAATGTAAAATGAAACTTTTTGGCACTTTCTTGTTGATTTAAACTTTTAATAAATTTAAATATTTTATGACTTTGAATTCTAAAATTAAATTAAAAATTAGTAAAAACTTTTTTCGTTTTTAATTTTTTTTTTATATTTTTTTTTTATATTATGTATGCAACTTTACTTTGTTGTATATTGGATAATAACACAGTAATATCTACTATTAGTTTGAATTGATGTATCTGAATTTACACATTCTGTATTTTCGAAAATTAAACTTTTACATAAATAATCTGATGATGGTGCATTTAAATAATTTGCTCTTTCTTCTAATTTCCAATTATAATAACATCTTGGTACTCTTTCAAGTTTATGACTAATATAAAATATGGTTATTGTTAATAAAAAGTAATTATTAATATTATTACTACTGCCAAAATACAAACTCTAATCCAATATCATCACAAACTTTTGAAATTCTCTTTTGATTATCTGTAATAATGCTTGATGGTGTAATATCATCAATTTTTTCGACTAATTTATTCAATTTATTTAAAATTTCATTTTGTCTTTTTTCTAATAATTCCATTACTTTATTTTAATATTTTAATACTGTTACAAAGAACTTTAAAAAAAAAAAAAAAATTAAAAATAAAAAAAAAAAAAATAAAAAATAAAAAATAAATTAAAAAAAATTAAAAATAAAAATATAAAAAAAAAATAATCCCTATTTATAATAAATGATTAAAATAATCCAAATAAATAAATAGAATTGTAATAATATAATTTCTATATTTAAATTACTCTTTTTTTTTATTTTGTTAATTTTATTAAAAAATTAATTTATAAAAATATTTTAAAAAATTTAAAAAAAATTAAAAAAAAAAAAACGAAAAAAAAAAAGATTTTTATTTTTTTTTATTTCATTTCTTTACAAAGATATAAATAAATATGGAAGAGGATGAATTTGGATTGTCTAATATTTCATTAATCGAAGATGAAGTTAAAGAAAAAGTTAATGTAATTCCAATTGTAGATTATACACCAAAAATAGATGAAAAATTGGTATGTATTTAATTTAATAATTTTAAAAAAAAAAAAAAAATCTTATTAATATTTAATTTTAAAACAACAGTGGTTTATGAATAAAGGTCAAAAAATAGATAATAATAATAATAATAATAATAATAGTAATAATAATAATAAAGAATGTAATATTAATAATGATACAGATGAAAAATTAAAATTAAAAGAAAAAAAAAAAAATGATAAAATTAAAAAAAATAGTATTAAGAATTGTCAGTTTAGAATAGATCATTATTATTATAATAAAAAATATATAGAATGCATTGAAGAGTTAAACTTTTTAAAAACTTTAGTAAAATTAAAAAAGAAACAAGATTATAACGATGATATTATAGATGTAGAGATTAGATGCAATTTTAAATTAAACAACTATGATAATGTAATCAGTTTAATTAAAAATGTAGAAACTACATTAGCTTCAAAAAACATTCCACAATTTAAAGATCAAAATTTATTACATTTATTAGCGCAATCATATCATTTTAAAGAATTATTTAATGGTAATGTAATTTAAACCAAATATTCTTTAAATTAATTTAAAACATACTAATAGAGATTTATAATTTTAGAATCAATTAAAGAATATCATAGATTATTAACAGTGAATCGTAGAATTTGGGAATGGTGGTTCAATATTTCATTAGCTTATTTAAAGAAACCATTAAATATTTTTACAAAAGAAAATTTAAAGATTTCATTATAATTGACAACAACAGCAATAACAACCCTACAGTAAATTTAGATATTATACATTAGAGAATTAAAATGAATTCCTTAATAATAGAGTTTAGCATCAGATCAT